TACTGCAAACAAGGTCAAGCATAAAAGAATACAATAGAAAAGGAATAAGAGACAGAAATAGAATAATATATATAACATTAAATAGAAAATAAAAATAGCTCTTATGATATTTAAATTCAAAAGGAAAGTTATCATTAATTTTCAATAATTTAATACGCTGCATGAAACTATTGAAAAGGAGTTCGGGAAGATACATTGGCAATTGCATAAGAATCGATATCATGATCTGAATTAAAATCCCCAAAAATAAACAAAAAGTTAAAAATAGATGGAATTAAAGTATCTTAAATATTTTAATTCTATAAAAATTATATACAATGAAGAAAATATGAAATAGAAAGTAAAAGAATACATCAGATAAAATATATCTATTAATGCATTGTTCAAATTAGATACAATAAAAAAAATGAGCCACAGTATTCGTACCTAATAAGAATTATACATACAAGTCCCATATAAAAATTAATTACTTGTAGATCCCAATCACTTATAAATACTGTAATTTGACATGTAAATAAGCTAAAAAAATAGTTCTTTTTTATTTAGAACCTCATTGTAGGTAGTTTTTCCTAATAAATTAGTGTGGCTTACTATAAATTTTAAAATTTTTGTCATACTCTCCCACTACTTTTTTACTTGTTTCATTTTAAAATTTTCATATATAGATACTTTTTCCAAACTAAGTATAAATTATGCAAAAGATCCACATCTCAATTCCAATTGCTATTTGTTAACAATTTGATACAAAATATTTAATCTTACCCCTACTACGGATGTGGGGTGGATGGGGGCAAGCACCCTTGCCTGCCCTCATAATATGTTGCAAACTTTTTGATGATTTTTTTCGTTTCACTTGAAACAAATGAACCCCCAACACCCCCCCCTCCACAAAAGAAAAAAAGAATTTTTTCAGATTTGGCCTCCTATGAGTTAAGTTCTGTATCTACCGTCACGGCTAACCCCACCAATTATTTGAGTTATATTGGTGACACAAATAGATAAATTATTGTGCAAAGAAAAAGATAGATTAGGTGAAAAATGGACAATCTCTTTATTTCTCGTGAAAAAAATTTATCACTTAACATTGTCTACTTTGAATAAACTCTGTGAATAGTAGAAGTTTTTCAATTTCACGCTAAAAGGAAATTCAAAGCTCAGCACGTTACAACAAAAAAATACTTTTGATAGAGACTTTAAGCGATGATAAAAATAGTCACCACTAAAAGCCTACTTTTGGCAATGACCGTTGGCGACGATATTGTGTATGCATGGTGTCTACTTTGTCTGCTGAGCTCCATTTTTCACTGCCACAGAATTATTTAAATAAGATGCTCCATATTTGATGATTATTTAAAATAAGAAACAAATAAAATAGGTGAAGAATACTTGATAGTTTTTAATCGTCAAGTAAAGTTGGTTATAATAGACATCACATTGTTATTTGATCGTTAAAAACCGTCAAGTATTAACAAAAATAAGCATCAAGTATGGGGGTATTCTGTGGTAGTGTTTCCTCATTTGGTTCTTGTTTTCAAATTACTCAAATTGTTTAATTTGTTAATGTTAAATTTATTGGGATTATTATTAGATGAGAATTGTAAACTTCATTGTTTAATTTATGTTAATATTTGAATTATGGATGAAATTATGTATAAATTTATTAGAGTTTATTTATTTTAAATTGTAAATTTATTAGAAAGTATATTCTATTATCTTAAGATTGACTTTGTTAAAGAGACTTTAATGAAAGTTCAAACTAATCTAGTTTAAGTCAAGACAAGATTCTTTCTATTTTGATTATAAAATATCCACTTAGATTTTTAATTTAGATTTTTTATTTAGCATTTACTTTTAATTTATCACATATTCACTCACTTTCTATCTCAAAGATAATAAAGAATATTTGTTCAAAGTGACTATTAACAAAATTTATATGATTAAAATAATTTTTTATTCAAATATTTTTTAAGATAATTGAAAAATTAAAGATAAAATTTATTTTTAATAAAAGAAGGAGAAGCATTTAACTTGGGAAAGATAAAATTTTAATCATTTATTTATTAATTTTTGAGAAATATATGAAAAAAAGTAAAAGATATATATTTAACGTAAACTAATATAATACATAGTTATAAATAAATTATATACTTAATTATTTTCCTTTAAAAATAAAAATAAAATTTAAAAATTGATTAAAATGTTTATAAGAAAATTATTTAATATTTAAAAATTATTTTATTTAAGTTCATTTTTCTAACAAAAATAATATTTTATTAAAAATATAATACACAACTCATATAAATTATTTTATCACATTAATAAATGAAAATAAAATATAATATTTATGTATATATTTTTAATAATATATTAATTGATATATGTGTATATAGTTAAATAATATATATCTACATGACACAAGTTGTTAGATGATGTGGCATGATGTAGCGCACACATTGCTAGGTCACTTGGCACATGTTGTGGCATGAGGAGGTGCACATGTGGTGAGTGATGTGGTATGAGGAAGTATTGACGTGACATGAGATGTCTTGTTTATTTACTTTTTTTTATTAAAAAAATAACTTTTGATGATGACAAAAGTCATTGCTAAAATTTTTTAATAGTGACTTTTCATCGTCAAAGAGTCATCACCAAAAGTTTAGTTACTAATGATTTTTGACAGTGATAAATATAGTCGCTACTAAAAGTACACATTTAGTGGTGACAATTGTCTTATCATCATCAAAGGTAAACTTTTAGAGGCGAAATACTATTGGCGACAATAATTGTCACTACTAAAGATATACTTTTGACGGTGATTATGTTCGTTGTCACCAAAAATCATTAACAACGAGACTTTTGGTGGTAACTTTTTGGCAGTGAAAAATCACCGTTAAAAATCTTTAGTGGCGACTTTTTGTTTTCATCGAAAAATGTTTTTTTTGGTAGTGGTAGGATCAAGGATGGTACATGGATCCACGAAGAACATAGGGTAGTTGGGGCCCACAATAGATGTTATATGTGACTACGTGAAGAAATACAAATACATTACATTAAACGGTGGAATTCATATACATTTGTGCTCCTTAATTTGTTTAACCCATAAATGTGATTCATGTGAATATATATCTTCATTACTTTCTATAAGTTCACAACAACATACATTCTATGCATGTGTACACGACAACTCATTTTTGTCTGGAAGATTCCTCTCCTTCAAGATCTTTCCTTGTAGCTTTGTCTTTTAATTTCTTTAGTATTACGTTTGACATCTCTAGCTCCTCTTGTTTCATGTGATCAATTACCATGGATCCTGAAGACTCTAATGGGCTTTTCAACAAACACCAACACCATTGTTTTCAGTTTGAATGGTGCGCTTTCGATGCTTTTACGACTACGATGAGCATGTTTTCTCAAATAGAAAAACGTGTGTGTGGTGATCTTGTATTGCTAGTTTGTTAATTACTCACAACAAGCACAAGATTCTACTTGTGCGCGCCCTCGGGGGTTGGTTTGTCATTATGTCAATTTATCACTCAAGCGCACATTTAGAATGATGATTGATCATATACTTAATTAGGGGTTGAGTCAGGATTTAGTAATAAGAGGGAGTGGATTAAAATATATATATATATATATATAATGCAAATTTTTTATAATTTTTTTTTACAAAAACTCATTTTTTTCCTTAAAGAAATTAAGGGAGGGGGAGATCATGGTATCATGTACTGAATAGGAAGAGTGATTATCAGAATGGGCCATAATATAAAGAAACAAAAGTAAAAAATGGATTACATTAAGTTATCTTAAAGGTTTTAATGAATAAAAATAAAATTAATTGTAAGAAATATAAAAATGAAGTAAAAAGAAAATTCACACTAATGCTTTGCCTTTTTTATAAAATACATTTATTTGGATATTTAACCTCTATATTATTATATGGCATGACTATATACATAGGCTTGTATAATTAATGTACACAAATTGATGAACGAGTTGCATTATTTAAAATTATAGATTTTAATTTTATTATAAATTTTATATTTTATTCTCATATTCACCTTTGCATCTCTTATTTTTTACTTGTTTCATTTTTTTTAAAAAAATAATATCAACTATTTTTCCAAATTAAATCACATTATGCAAAAAGTCTCAAAAATAGTATCATTAAATGGAAAAAATTATTATATATTTACCTTTATCTATTTAAAGTGCTTATTTTAATTAAATTAAAAGACATGTCGATCTTTTATATATTATTTATTCTATATCAAATTCTTATCATTAATACATTAAAATTCACTTGTTTTTATTTAACTACATGAAAATACATTAAATATGTAAGACTAAATATTTAAGACTTGCACATTATTAGAATTAAACAACTTTATGAAACTAGTTAAAATTTGCTTATATTTAAAAAATAAAGAAAGTGTCTGACTTATATTGAGGGACAAAAATTAATTCACTCATGGAGAATAACAAATAGGTTCTAAGGGATTAATTAATTTAAAGTAAGTCTCAAAAGATTAAATTTTAAGAATTTATAAATTTAACTCTTAATTTTATAATTTTATTGTGATGAAATTACAATTTATTTTTTAAATTTTAACATAGTTAAAGCATGAACAAATTTATTTTTTCTTTTAAATTTAAAAATAAGTTATATTATGATAAAATTAAAAGTTAAATTTATAATTTTTTTAAATTTAATATTTGAAAATTTATTTTAATTAATTATTATATTCTTAAGACTTGTATAATTCTCTTCATTACCTAATGATGTCTTGCATGATGTTGGGGCTCACAACATGCATTCTGTGCATATGCACCGCCATGTGGGGCCCATATATATACAGAAATTAGACTCATGCCTTTCTTTCATACTTTTATAATTTTATATCAACACACAACTAAGCCAACCCATTTCTTTTAAATTGTTCTTTCACTGAGATCTCTCCTTTGCTTTACTGCTCCAAATCTCTCGCTCGCTCCATAATTCCATGGATTCTGAACATTTGTGTGATGTATTCCCAGCAGACACCAACACCCCTATTTCTGCCGATCATTTCATCTCATCTTCTTCAAGCGAACAGTACTTCAAGATCGAGGTCGAATCCAAAAGCTACTATCTCATGGACGGCGTCGTTTTAGACCATTTTACTACTACGAATGAGTGTGGCTTCTCTAATATCCCAAAGCAAGACATAGAACTGTTCATCCATACGATGTTGCCTCATTTTAATGTTCCTGGGAATGCTCAACCTCTCATGGCAGCAAAAATCTTGGCCTGCGCAGAACACATGGCGAATGTGACGCACAAGAACCACAAGATTCTGGGTATGCGTGTTGCTATATCGAATACCACTCAGCTTTATCATTATGAATATCTTCTTCGTAGGGCTGTGAATGAAGTGAATGAACATGAAGATCATCTGAGATCGATGCCGGCAAGCAAGTCAGCCGTTGAGGGATTGGTAGGGCTGAAAGTTGAACAAAAGGAAGAGAGTACTGTGGTGGGAAGAAAACTTTGTAACTGCGCAATTTGCTTTGAAGATTTTTCAATTGATTCAGAAGCTCTTCGCATGCCATGCTTACACTTGTTTCACAAAATCTGCATCATTAATTGGTTAAAGAATCGCAACACTTGCCCTCTCTGTCGTTTTCAAATGCCTGCAGGTGTGATCATCAATGAGGCCCGAGCTGCATAACAGAGTAGGGTGTAAGTATTTTGGCTCGCAGTGAATCTATTATTGCCAAATTTTTAGTTTTTCCCCTAACCCAAATTATTTTATCAGTGTTCCAGGTTTTATGGTTGTTTTATTCCTGAATTATTAGTAAGATATTTTATGTAGTAATGGTAGAAGGGATAGAGAAATATAAAGAGAAAGAGATCAGATATCTGGAAACTATAGACATCAAGGGGAAGAGTAAGATATAGAGTTGACTCGTGTGCTATTGAAAGTTCTTTATAGATAAGTTACAGCATTGTAACTATATATATATATATATTATCTTGAAACTTATATGCCAACTACATCTATTAAGATGCTAATATGATAGTTTATACTATGAAGTAGTACATGAGGAAGAGGAAATTAATTAACAACACGAAGAATTTATCATGATTTGATGTTTCTACATGCATTTTTCTCACTTTGCTAACAAAAAAATTATGTCGAACCATTGTTGAATTGAACATGTACAAGAAAGAAGCATGGCTTTTCCATGCTCACCACCATCTTAGGTTTTCACTAGTCTTCATGTTCAATGATGATTACAATTCATCTAGCTCACTTCCAGCTAGCTCTGTAGAGTACTTTTACCCTCCAAGCAAGAATTACAAAGTGTGAGAATTAAAATTGGAATTTTGGGAATCTCAACAATAAGAAAATACACAATTGCATTATTTGCTCTTACAAACAGATAACACTGACTCTTCCTTTTTATGTACTGCATAAACTCGTCTGCTATTCTCTGCTGCACAAATTTTTGCTGCTTATAGAAATTAAGGAAAGGAAAGTATTTGAAGTTTAGAAACTTTGGAGAGAGGAGAGAGAGAAACCCCCTATATATACATATATCACTCCTGATCATCACCAAGAAGCCAAATCCAGTAAAACTCGCTAATTAAGTAACAACCTTCTCCCCCCCCCCCCCAAAAAAAAAATACTATGTATGTTGGTTATGAAATTTTCACACATAGTCTCTTCTCCTTGTTGTGTGTTGAAGTTTCTCTCATTTTATATAATTGCAGGAGCTAGATAGCAAGCCAGTGTAAAAATGATGGGGGCAATCAAATAAACTTGGCTTGGTCCTGAGGATTGAGACTCATTATGGTTCTTTCTGATAAAAAGTACATTCTTTGCTTTCTATTGGAGTTCTTGCAGACTGAAACTTGTATTGCAGACATGTATATTTTTTCTGTTTGTTCGCAATTTTCTGTACTAGATCTTTTATTTTGTTGCATAATTCGACTTGTTTTTTAAATTCGGTTGCCAATTCTTTAGTTTCAATCGTTTCTTTATTTATATGTGGTTTTGAAAATCGAAATAGTGCGCTGAAGCTAAATTCTCCCTTTATTTATTTCCTTTCATGCTGGCGAAGCCCATCATATATTCACTTTTTTTTTTTTTGATAATGCTAGCTTGAATCATGGTAGCACATTCTAAGTAGGAAATGTCTATCTACAACTTTTCGAGGAAGTGTAAAATTCATGTTCTACAATCGGTCTCTTTTTGTTGATGAAAACCGACATATTTGAGTTGCCCAAATTTTATTTTAATATTTTAATAAAACAAAACTCTTTAGAAATAAACGTTGGGAAAATGACATTGCAATTGATATTCCACCTTTTAACATTTAATGAAAAACTGGAACAAAAAAACTTTAACTAACAAATATATGTGTCGGAAATTTTCACAAAGTTTTGAAAAATTTGGCATTGATATATGAAATATTTGCAATTATTATTGAAGTTTCAATTTTTTAACATGGAAGTGTTGAAAAGATTTGTAAAGATTTGACATTTCTCTTTAACAATTTACTACTAAAGTGTGTGTGTGGTTGTGTGTGAATTTTAAAATGATTTTTAAAAATTTATGTTAGATTTTAGAAGAAAAGGTAATTATGTAATTTTGTTTGATAATTAAGGATCAAAGGTTCTCTTTTGAAATTTTGAAAATATTTTCGTCTCAAACTAAATTAAATAAAAATATTGGTCCCAAAGTGTCATTCTACAAACTTTAAAAACAATCTTAAATTAAAATAAAATCTAAACGATCATTTAATTTGTTGTTTATGGCTTCAGGAACATTTCCCATTCGAGCCAAAGCTGAGGGAAATGGTCTACCACCATTTCTTAAAAGAATAGGTAATAATTAATTTATTAAAAATAGTGTTGTTGTATAATAACTACCGTATATATCTATGAATGTTCATGACTTCCCCGATTAAAAAACAGTGATTATAACTCTTATGAATCATCTCTATATCTTAAGCTCCTATGCATGCATGATTCCAAGTTATTAAGTATGGAAACATTCATATGTATCAAATACATTCATGATTCTTTGTTTTGAAAAATGTACATCATAAATGTTACTGCAGGTACAATGTACTTAATTCATGTATTCATGCATTAATATTCAATAATTGTAAGGCTATAAATAGAAGCCCATGTCTCAAAGCCTTAAACACATAGATGAATTAAAGTAATAAAAGCTCATCTTTACTGAGGTCTTGAGTTCGAGTCTTGGAAATGTATTAGTGTTAATGGCCAGGAGCACTCACCCTTATGGTGCTTTCAACCTCAATTCTCATTATTCTGAGTATCGTTAAGTCCTTACAGCTTAAGTGGGGTAGGCCCAAAATACCAGGTGCTCATGCCAAAAAATAAAATCTCTCCCATTGTTAAGAAATATTAATGCTTGGCTACTACTAACTGTGGTCTTTGAATCTATTAAGAAATGTAAAGACAAATACTATAAACTGAGCAATGATGCCCTTTTATATCTATATATATATAACTAGAAGTTTAAGTGAGTTAGGTCTTAGGGCTCACTAAGGTCATGGTATACCTCTAGACTCAACGAGCTCTTATGCGATACTTTAATAAATCAAACAAATTTAAACCCATCTAAAATTAAAATAATAGGTAACAATTAAAAAAGCAAATACTACTCCAATCCCTCTTTAGGGTGCCTTCTAGAAAAAAAAAAGAAGTTTGGTCCTTAATATAAGGCATTGGTGAGGAAATTATTACATTTTTTCAATTTACCCCTATTTAAATTATAAGAGAGAATGTAATACAAATTTTAAATTTTTTCATTTAGATTAGGAAGATTGGAAATTTATTATACTTTCAGAAACAATTAAAGACAGGAGGGAGTACCATATTGGATGGTTTAGTTGCTAACTCCTCTTCAGTTTCAATTGTGAGGGGAAAAGAAAATTAATAAGCTGATTGTAGTGATGACATAGGGTTCGGAGAATTAGTCTAAAAAGAATGTGATTGCACAGAGAATGTGTTGGGGCAAATCAATTCTGTTTAGGCTAACCACCCAATTGAAATTCAATTGATCATCCTATTAAACACAAGGGAGAAAGAAAGGATAGAGGAAACTAGTTAAAATATAATATGGGCCAATTCAGCTTTCAAGGTCATTTTTCACTATTGTAATATAGGCCAAGCTTTTGCATGCAAAATATAGAGCCCAAGCCTAAGCTTACAAGGGAAAGGGGGGGTCTATTCTTTTAAGGGTTAAAATCCATTTTTTGCCTCTGAACTGTTACACCATAAGAAGCCCTCAGTGTCCTATACTTTTTTTTTTGTCCAATCAGCCATTAAACTTTTAAAAATGAATCATCCTGTTTCTTGCTGTTAATTTTAGTTAAGTTTAGCAGTTAAATCAATTTCGATGACTAAAAATAGGTCATCCTTAGTGATCCACACTTAACTAACCAATCCATGGTAATCATGGGACTAACTAAATGAATTATCCAATCATGGTTGACTGATTGAAACAATATGGGCACATCTTTAAAATCCAGTTACAAGTTCTTTTGAGATTTAGGACCCCAATTTTTACATTTTTAAAACACTATAATATGTCTAACAAGTTCAAATCAGAGTGGGAATAGGTATGAAGGTAAAACCCTATCTTAGGGTCAAAACCCTAGAATTTTTTTACTATAATGA